CTCTGGGCCAGCTTTAGCTCTGAGGCCTCGGCTGCTGAAAGCAGGTTTCTGGCCTTTGTTTACCTTCTTTATTTGATACAATGTTGCGGTCCGGCTGGCTGAAGCCCGGCTGACTAAAGCAGGTTTCTGGGGTTTTGTTTAGCTTCTATATTTGCAACATAGTTGCTTAGAGTTGCAGCTGAGAGGCCGGCAAGTCAGGCAGGGAACGTTGGAGTCCGCAGTCACTGGAGCAAGCAAGCCTCCCTGTTCGCTTCAGTGCATGGCTGCCGGCCGCCATCTTGGCTGGCAGTTAATTTGCATATCGCCCTGATTAGCCAATGGGAAGGGTAGCGGATGTACGGCTAATTACCATGTTTCTCTTTTATTAGATAGGATAATACACATATCATATACTTCACCCATCTCAGAGCATTCTTTACCTCAAATCTAAATATCTTTATTATTTGGGGCTAATTAGAAAGATAACTTGTGTGTCCTAGAAAATTAAAATAGCAATGAAATGTATAAAGTTGAGGGTAAAATGTCTGTTGTCCTGGACCCCTGTCAATGGTTTGGGATACATCTTTTCAAACTGTTTAAATATGTTATGTGGCCCTGGCTGATGGGGCTCAGTTGGTTGAAGTGGTCCCATGCACTGAGAGTTCACAGGTTCGATTCCCAGTCAAGGCACATGCCAGGGTTGTGGGCTTGATCCCCAGTAGGGGGTATACAGGAGGCAGCCAATCAATGTTTGTCTTTCTCTCTCCCTCTCCCTTTTCCTTCCTCTTCTCTCTCTAAAAAAAAAAAAAGTAATAAAAACTTATTTTCAAAATATGTTAGGTGTATATTTACATAGATGAGTTCATGTATATACACTCGTTTGTAATGAGCTTCCCCCCAGCTTACTACATCTTGTAGCACGTTCCATTTCAGTATATATGCCTGTGACTTAGTCACTTTACAACTGCAGAGTTTTCCATTTTGTAGCTGTACCATAATCTCATTAACTCATTTCTTACTGATGGTTGTTTAGGTTGTTTGTAGTTTTCAGCCTTCGCATAGTGTACCAGGCCCTCTGTGTGCTAAGCACTTTGCATATAATTCCATTTGATCCTTACAATAACCCGGGAACATTCCCACTTCGCAGGAAAACTGGGCTTGAGAGAGGCCAAGTGACCTGACTGAGGAGACAGAGCCATTAAGCAGGGAAGCCACTTAACAAGCGCTGTGCCAATGTTATTGCACAGACAACGTTGCACGTGTGACAAATTACGTCTGAAAACAATTTCTAGGGCAGAAATGATAGTCCCCGGAGCCGTAATACCCTGCATCATGGCTGGCTCCCACCAGTCGTGTGTGGCATCTGTCCTCCCGAGGGGCATTTTGGCACTGGGCCCAACTGCTCCAGGTCTGAGCACCCTCGTGCCCCTTGCCCTCCCCTCGTCCCACAGAGGGCTCCACCGGGAAGACGTGCCTGATGAAGGCCGTGCTGAACCTTCGGGATGGAGCCAATGCCTGCATCCTGCCGCTGCTGCAGATCGACCGGGACTCGGGCAACCCCAGGCCTCTGGTCAACGCCCAGTGCACAGATGAGTACTACCGAGGCCACAGCGCCCTGCACATCGCCATCGAGAAGAGGAGCCTGCAGTGCGTGCGGCTCCTGGTGGAGAACGGTGCCGACGTGCATGCCCGGGCCTGCGGCCGCTTCTTCCAGAAGAAAAGCCAAGGCACTTGTTTTTATTTTGGTGAGGAGTCTTGATTAAAGTGAGGCCTGGTGGGCAGAGCGGGGTGGCACACGGTTAATGGGTGGTAGAGCTGGCCCTTAAAACCAGCTCTATCTAACCCTGGGGCCCATGCTGCCAACCCCCAGGCTGCCTGCAGAAGCAGTTAGTCTTAACTACGAGATGTTTATCCTTGTCTGGCCACATCCCCCAGCGGGGCCAGGGCTGGGGATGGCTGCTAGAACTGGCATGTGGCCGGAGTCAACCAGACGGCCTGGCTGAAGGGCATCTCCGTCAGGCAGCAGTGGGCCTGGGCGCTGCTGAAGGAGGGGAAAAGGCAGGGAAGATGGGGACCCTGGTGGCTGGCCCGTGCTGTTCCCTTAGGTGGTAGCGGTTGGTCCCCTCTCCCTGTGTCAGAACGGGTACAGCTGCTGTCACCAGTGTTCACAGAAGGCACAGCTGCCCTCAGCGGGGCCGGGACCTCGGGCCATTGCTTCATCCTTTCCCCCGGGTGCCTGGCCGGCCTCCAGGAGGCCTGGCCTCTGTCCAGGGAGTGTGAAGAGTAGGCGGTGAGTGCTGCCCCTTGGCCCCCAGGTGAGCTGCCCCTCTCGCTGGCGGCATGCACCAATCAGTGGGATGTGGTGGCCTACCTCCTGGAGAACCAGCACCAGCCTGCCAGCCTGCAGGCTGCCGACTCACTGGGCAACACGGTCCTGCACGCGCTGGTGATGATCGCAGACAACTCGGCTGAGAACAGCGCTCTGGTGACCCACATGTACGACAGGCTCCTCCAGGCTGGGGCCAGCCTCTGCCCCTCGCTGCAGCTCGAGGACATCCCCAACCTGCAGGGCCTTACACCCCTGAAGCTGGCTGCCCAGGAGGGCAAAATGGAGGTGAGTGGCTGCCCCCACCCCCGACCTGCCCAGGAAGCAGAAAGAGCCTGAGGAGGTGGTAGAAAGCAATGGTTTCCCCATTTTTCAACTGAACACTCCTGTTCATAAGAACAGTTCAGCACGCACCTCTGCCATGTGTGTTTATTGAGAAACTGTATCTAACTACTGAACCAATATATTACATTATAAAGCACAGGGATTTTCCCCATTTTATTTTTAGTTTTTATTGAATTTATTGGGGTAACATTGGCTTCAGTAAATCACGGGCATTTTTTTTTAAAAAAAAAGTCATTTGGGCCCTAGCTGGTTTGGCTCAGTGGATAAGAGCGTCAGTCCATGGCCTGAAGAGTACTGGGTTCGATTCCGGTCAAGGGCATATACCTCATTTGCAGGCTCCATCCTCCACCCAATGTATGTCTCTCACATCGATGTTTCTCTCTCTCTGTCTCACACCCTCCCTTCCATTCTCTCTAAAAAATCAATGGAAAACTATCCTCAGGTGAGGATTAACAACACCAAAAAAGTCATTTGGGTTTCTTGATTAGGAGACAATCTATTCATGTCCTTTCCTATTCTGCCATTAGACTTGCTCTTGGGTTTTCTTTATCTGGGTTGGTAAGTGTCCTTTATACTGAACAATTAGCATTTTATTTACTCTCACAGTTGCAAAATTTTCTCACAGCTCAACATTAAAAATTTTTATTGTGCTTTGCCACACAGAATTGTCACATTTCTAACTTTACAAGTTGTAATTATCCTTTCCTTTAGAGTTTTGCTATTACTTAATCCTCCAGCAAGGTCATCCTATATAATAAAAGCCTAATATGCTAAGTGTCCAACTGTTCCTTCGACCATTTGACTGGTCGCTATGATGCTCACTGACCACCAGGGGGCAGAT